CCAGATAGCATTCGGACTTTGGCCCAACGTTGGCAATGTTGGCAAAACCATTGCCAACGTTGGGCCAAAGTCTGAATGCTATCTGGGATGTTGGATGTCATCCATCGATTATCAGCTGATTGGCCAGAAAATATCAGCAAACTAGTGACTTTAAGGGCCGTGAACGTTTAGAACAACCACGATAACTCCAAGGGAGGATACAGCTCTTCTCAGAATCACAAAATTTCATGGCAACTGGTTTGATAAAAACAGAGTGGCTTCCACATCATCGTTTGTCCAGCAGACCGGTCCAAAATCATATCGCTAATATCCAAGACAAGGTTGTTGTATCACGCTTCGATGGCCATTCTCTGAACATAATATCCATGGACAACAATGTTAATCCACACCGTGCACGTGCGGTTGATGATTTCTTATGTCAGTATGTGTTTTGTACTGTTTTGGCCCACCAGGAGTCCAGATAACAATTCCATAGAGCATGTTTTGGACAATATGGCTTGCAGAACACGACAGATCCTCCAGTACAAAATATTGATGTATCGGAACGAGCCCTCCATCAAGAATATAACGAGCTTTATGAGCTTGCAATTGTCAGTGTTTGAGTTATACTGGAGAAATGTGTGAGTGGGTTTAATTTTACGCCGCTTTTTGCAATATTCTACCAATATCACGCCGGGGACACCAGAGACGAGCTTCACACATTGCACCCATTTGGGGAATCGAACCCGAGTCTTCAGCGTGCTGAGCGAACGCATTAACCACTAGGCTACCCCACCCTCCGTGGAGACATGTATCTTCGAGGTAGTCCTTATTTAGGCAAAATCTGTAAATAGCGCTTGCTTCCGTGGTCAGGTCAAAATGTCAAGCCAAATTGTCAAAAACACTGCCCTGCTGTAAAGCCAGTGAGTTAATATTTTAAGTCATATCAGCAATTTTTCAGCCATATCGTGACGCCCTGCTGTAAAGCTTGATCTGTTTGTTGAACTTGTGTCAGATGAAGTGTTGAAATTACTTAAGTGTGTATTTCTCTGTATGACAAAAGATCCTTTAGTTTTGCAGTGTTGCAATTAACGACAAACAATCATCATCTTTTTAAATATTTATTGCATACCATATTCACATTTATCTATTAAACCAACCAATCAGTAAACTATCATTGTTCTCCTTCCTTCTATACATGTGTGATAAGATTACATGACAAATCAGGACCGGGGTTAATCACATATTAAACCTTTACATGATTATCTTCTTTAAGGCACCTGACAGGACCATTCATATTCAACCCACAGAATTCAAATACAAAATGACTCTGTCTATTTGACCGAAAAAAATACACCAAATACTTCACAATACAAAGGGGAGGAATATGACGACACACAGAAAAGTTGGGATGGTGGAAATTTTATAATCCCAGCATATCGGTGACCAGGCACAATACAATGATTGGTGTTTATTAGGTCAAATATGGTAATCATTTTCCTTTGCCCGCACCTTTTGACATAAGTACATTGCATATTAATTGTAGGATTTTCAACCCTGCTTGCCTCTCAGCCAACATCCTCGTCACATTACCGTCTTGCAGTACCAACAAGGGAAGATAACCACTCTCTACATCTCCTTCTTGCTCATGAAATACTAGTACATCTCATACATAGTACCACAAACATCCGCTCATTATGTGATTCACATGTCAATTAATAATGCACATGTATTCCTTGATCAGCTATATAAGATAAAACATAACTGCCTTTCACGTAATTATTTGTATTACTTTAGGAATGAAGTCTGATATTCTGAAGTTCACAAGAGTTTTACTACAAAATAGTTTGCTAGGATTATCTTTCAAACAAATTTCCTATTTAGTTGAAACAAAAGGAATTACTTTTTGATTTTCAGTCATACTGTTTCTAATCTTTTGACATTCAGGAAATGTTTCAGTGTTATTTTCTAATGAAGACAAACCTACAACTTACTTTACACTGATTGAGACTATATAGACTGACTGACTGACTGAGTTTGGTTTTACGCCGCTTTTAGCAATATTCCAGCAATATCACGGCGGGGGGACACCAGAAATGGGCTTCACACATTGTACCCATGTGGGGATTCGAACCCGGGCCTTCGGCGTGGCGAGCCAACGCTTTAACCACTAGGCTACCCCCACCGCCCGAGACTATATAGAAGTGACTGAAAACAATATCTTACTGTAATTCAATTAAAGCGGTATAATTGCATATATTGTCATATGATAGTGTTTCGTTTGTTTTTGTCAACTGCTGCACTCAGCAATATTCCAGCCACATGACAGGGAACTGGAACAAATTGATAATCCAGTGGCAACGATTGTGAGCAACTATATGATTCATTGCGGGTAGGACATGCTATTACCCAAGTCAACGGATCTGATCACGTGATCCATCTTGTCAACTGTTACAACCAACATTAGTTGTCGGGGAACTGTAATAATCTTGGTTCCCCAGGGAGTGCCTATAACAAAGACCTCCAAATACCTCTAAGTAGCCATTGTATTAAATAAGTCACACAAAAGGACAAACAAAACAATTGGCAATGGAATGAAAAAAATTCTTTCTTCAATATGCCATTCAAATTTTGATAGGGACATCACTGAGCATCATGACATGTCAAAAGATGAGAAGCATATTATGTATGTCGCTAAATTATACATACAAAATGTTGGCAACATGACATGTGAAACAATGTTTATCTATTCACAACATACACAACAGAACAGATTCAAGGCACATATAGCACCCTGTGTAACGAAGTCATTTGTACTGTGCTGTTGTTCTATTCTATAGTGAAGAACAAGTCAGCTCTATCCTATCTCATGTAAGAATGTCCTTCTCTGATTGGTTCACATGCCCTGGAACAAATGACCATGTATGCCTGGTGCACGGTCCAACACCATCGATGCAGCGCATAAATATTTGCGAGGGAGAATAAATCATTTATACCCCACCCCATGGAAAAAGCATGCATCCACAGCAGTCAGTGAACTGTGAACCAGTGTTTCGGATCGACAAGTCAGTACCATGTTAGTAAAATATGTGATTGAATTTCAGTTTGTTTTAATGCTATATTTACATAAAGAGAGATATAAACATTTGGTAAGATAAATTCGTTGTAGCATTGTAATTAGGGGTATACGGGTTATATACCTCATTCTCGGTGGATAAAACCTAACAGGGGAGGGCATAAAACCCTGTACAGTCCTTATTACAATGCTACAACTTATAATATCACAGCTGCCAGGCCAGACAAACTTTGGGTTGTAGTAAGGAGCAACGTTTTACCGGGTAACACAAGTGAGCAACGTTTTACCGGGTAACACATGTGGAGGCCGCGGTGGCTGAGCGGGTCCCGGATATGACTCAACCCCCCAAAAAGTACTAGAATCTGTACTTTACTGAGAAAGTGTAATCCCAAATATAACATATGATAACACAAGTAAGTGAGCGAGTTTAGTTTTATGCCGATTTTAGCAATATTCCAGCAATATTACAGTGGGAGACACCAGAAATGGGGTTCACACACTGTATCCAAGTGGGGAATTGAACCATGGTCTTCGGCATGACAATTGAACGCTTTAACCCCACCACCCCACCGGGTAACACAAAAAATCATCTCCCATATGTCATTTGATAAACATGCAATACAGTGTTTTGTGCCATTGTACAAAGTGATCTTAGTTATAAGGTGATCTCAACTCTCATACATTAACACAGTTGTAGCGTTACGTTTGCGTTGTACAACAGCATGATGGGCATCTATTCCATCACGCACGGGATGCTGGGGACATTAGTAGGAATCATGTAGTACTGTGTCACCGATCAGATCCAACAATGGGGCACATCCATAAAGACTGAATACACAAGCTGACACTGCTTAGGGTCCACCTGCACAAAGAGATCTTAGCACCACAATGATTGTTTCACTTTACGAAATTGATATTTTTATATTTATTTGTCCTTGTCTATCTGATAGTTGGTTATTTGATGACAAACATCTCTTACAACAACCAGTTATGGCTGTCACATTCCTGATGACTGTATTGCTTTAGATTGACTAAAATTAAAATCAATATAACATAAACCATTATATGTTTACAGCTAAAAATCTTACAGAATTTATAAAATGTAAAATGTCCTTCATTGCACTTGTTTTCATCATAAATTTTTGTGAGGGAGAATAAATCATCTATACCCCACCCCATGGAAAAAGCATGCATCCACAGCAGTCAGTGAACCATGAACCAGTGTTTCGGATCGACTAGTAAGTACGTTAGTAAAATATGTGATTGAATTTCAGTTTGTTTTAATGCTATATTTACATAAAGAGAGACTTAAACATTTGGTGAGATAAATTCGTTGTAACATTGTAATTCGGGGTATACGGGGTTATATACCTCAGTCTCGGTGGATAAAACCTAACAGGGACACATAAAACCCTGTACAGTCCTCATTACAATGCTACAACTTTACGAAATTGATATTTTTATATTTATTTGTCCTTGTCTATCTGATAGTTGGTTATTTGATGACAAACATCTCTTACAACAACCAGTTATGGCTGTCACATTCCTGATGACTGTATTGCTTTAGATTGACTAAAATTAAAATCAGTATAACATAAAACCATTATGTTTACAGCTAAAAATCTTACAGAATTTATAAAATGTAAAATGTCCTTCATTGCACTTGTTTCATCTTAATGAAGTATAACCTTCATTCACAAACCTACATTGGGACTTACTGTCAGGGAGGTGGAATTCGCAATGGATGATAACACATGGTTATATTTGATGAGAAAAAATGTGGCATGAGACACTTTTTAAACAAAATTGAAATGGGTTATTGGTACAGAGACAGAACCTGGTATATTTCAGGTTTGCTGATGGGGAACTTAGTTGGGGTGGTTGGCGAGATGGTTGGAATATTTTGGTGGAAAATAGTTATTCTTTCTGTCTATGGTATGGTGGAAACTAGTTGGGGTGGTTGGCGAGATGGTTGGGTTGGTGGAAAATAGTTAGGGTCATTGGCGAGGTGGAAACTAGTTGGGGTGGTTGGCGAGATGGTTGGGTTGGTGGAAAATAGTTAGGGTCATTGGCGAGGTGGAAAGTAGTTGAGGTGGTTGGCGAGGTGGAAGGTAGTTAGGGTCATTGGCGAGGTGGAAACTAGTTGGGGTGGTTGGCGAGATGGTTGGGTTGGTGAAAAATAGTTAGGGTCATTGGCGAGGTGGAAGGTAGTTAGGGTCATTGGCGATTGGTGGAAGGTAGTTAGGGTCGTTGGCGAGGTGGAAACTAGTTGGGGTGGTTGGCGAGATGGTTGGGTTGGTGAAAAATAGTTAGGGTCATTGGCGGGGTGGAAACTAGTTGGGGTGGCTTGTGAGGTTGTTTGCGAGGTGGAGGGCATATGGAATGAAGCTGTGACGTACAGCGTGGTGGAAGGTAGCTGGCATAGTTTAACATACCAGGGATGGTAGGAGTCATGCTGTGATAAGAGATGGTAATATGAATATTGCATCATCACAATTATCAAGGCGTATCTGATAATCAATTACTAAACTGTATTCTGTTTGCGAAGACCTTGTCAAAACACAAGGAACTGACTATGTTCCATGTACACAATGTGTCCAGATGTAGTCTAAATAAGGTATTGTACCACCACATGATTCTAAGGACTTCACTGTTCAACACACTAACATCGTTGCCATTATCATGATTTCTAACACACATATATTCAAAACGTCTACCATGTGAAGATAATTAATTCAGTAAGATGAACAGTAAACTATGTTTATAACAAACTGACTGATATAACGAACCATAGTTTAGCCCTTGTATATTAGTCGAAATAACTACAAGCTACGTTTATAAAGAGCTAGAATTGGTGATCCCAGTAAGTTTGTTATATCTCTAGTATACTGTACATGAATGGAATGTAGTCATGAAACAGTTTCAGATATAGAATTGTTTGTTTCTTGTTCAACACTGCACTCAGCAGTATTACAGCCATGATGGTGGGACCAAACAAACAAGTGATTGTGAGACACATCTTGGTACAATGACATGTTTTCAGCCAAGACCAAGAATCTGAACATCTGATCGATTGGTCACGTCTTGCACTCAACATAGGTGTGTATGTGAAGGGGGGCTGTGTGTGTGTGTGTGTGTGTGTAGTGTGTGTATGTGAAGGGGGGCTGTGTGTTTGTGTGTGTGTGGCTGTGTGTGGGTTCCCTCCTGGAATCCCCAAGGGGCCATTAAGTAGGGTCAGAGTACGTAATGAAGCAATAACACAATGTTTGGCAGTGTATGAAGATTCATGGAACTAAAAAGTGAGCAGAGTAAAATTATACTACTAAAACTCTGGAAACACATCATCTAAAATGACACCATTAATGCATGAAAAACAGTATGTAAAATCACATCATGAAACATGAACACAACATAAGAGACACAATTAAATACAATATTATTGAGACTCCAAGCAAGCAAGAGAAGGAAAGTTTAAAACTCAAAAACAGCGCAACTAAAAAGAGATAAGATGAAAATATGTTCCCTTGTCCTAAAAGTTAGCATACATCTAAAACAAACAAATAGTCAAATAAAATCAATAAAATCCTTACAAATGTTTACATGCCAACAAGATCATAAATGTCTAAAATATGAACTAAAAATGATTCCAAAACTGCAGTCCCACACCAAGAAAAAACATTCTACCACATGTATTTCAAAAACTCCCCTCATTTCTGTTCATTTGGAAAGTGAATATATACAATGCCAACTGATATATGTCTGATTGAGTCCTTAAAAGAAGTAGCATTGAACTTGATCTCATGAAATATTATTCCTGAAAAGAACTGATCACACTGGAACATTGCATCAACAGATTGAGTCCCGTCATCAAACATCTATACAGTCAGATGTCTGGCTGTCATCATTAAGCAGTGGTGTCGTGGACGATATGTTCTCTGATAGGTCCTTCGAGCCACGTTTCTGTTTGGCTATACTCACGATTGGAGTAGATGGAGTAAGTTCTACAGTGTTATCTTCTGATGACAGTAATGCTTCTTCGATATCATCGTCACAATAACTATCTTCCACAGCCTTGTCCTCATCCTTCGGTATCCCAGCACCATTAACTGTTGCATGTTCCCCGTTTACTTTAGGAACGGAACTTTCTTCAGCCTTCTTTCCAACTGTGTCTTGGTCTAATAAAGGTGCACTTGGAGCTGCATCCATGTCTTCTGAATCACTAGGCGCCGGCTCAAACATGGGTGCATTCTCCTCAATGCTGGAACTAGATATGGCACTATCAAGATCCTCTGCATTTTGATTTCCTTGGTCCATCTTTGACTCGTAAGTCATTCCATTTTCTTTGGGCAAGACATTGTCATCGTTGGGTTTGCTGGCGTGTCTCTCCTCATAGGCGGTCAGTGCTATGTCTGCCAGGTGTTCCGCCTCTGTCTTGCCCGTCTGCTGCACCATCTGGTAGAAATGACCTTCACCTTTCTCCAGAAGCAGGTGAGGTTCATCAAAGTCAATGATTTTACCTTCATCCATGACCTAAGAAATGATAGCGTCAGTTAGATTCATGCAGGATTGAACATGTTAAAGAATATTATCAAGCTAATAAGACAGATATTGTTTAAGATTCTTGAATAGCTTCCTATTTCTGGCCTTTGAATGTCTTCATCCTGCAGCATAACCATCTGAACATCCTCATCACTTATCAAGTTTGACAAAAATAAATTCCATTGACCCTGCAATCGCAGATCTAAGAATATGGTCATAGGTTTAAACATGCAGGATGGAAATCACACATGTAGTTCCAAGGTAACTCACATACAGAAACACTGTAGTTAATAAAAACATTTGACACCCCACTGTGCCATCCCCTACCTTACCCCTAAATGAAAAAGAAAATCCTACCATACAAACCAAATTTAAACCCTGAAGCTGGTTCTTAAAATCATCCTTTATCACACTTTGTTGATAAAGCCTTAGACTAATGCTTAATCTCTGAATATATATAAGTTTTGATGGAAACAAACAATTTCTTTTCAACTGAAAAGAAGCCCCAGTGAGTTGGGAGATCCTGAACCTGGAAATTCTACACTTGCTTGATTTATGGCTGAAGCATTGCAGAAAGGGCTAGACAGAAGGGTAAAATAGTGCAGTTCAGAGATTGTGAGACAGACTTATAAACCCACTGTTGATAAACCTCTGTTGATAAACCCTCACTGACAAATGCCAGCTAACAATGGATAAACAGTACACTTAATACTTTATCCATGATATACTGCTCAAATTTTCATAAGGATACTAGGATATTCCATGCTGTTGAAAAATTAATGAAGCAACAATTTAGGGATTTGATCACTGATTTAATTTTAACATCAAATAAAACTGAAAATATGTTAATGTTATGCAAAAAAGGAGTACTATGTTCCAGTACTATTCACATTTAGCCCTATCCGACAATGCAAAATGCCTACTCAAACACTGAGCAGTGTTTCAAGGTATTGTACAGAATGGGTCCTTAGTCCCATGATGGCTTAAACAAATATCCTTATCTTGCCCATTCATAAACGATCAGCTTGACATATTTTCATGTACTATTATTAAAACTGCCAGACTGTATCCAAAACAAAGCAACTAGAGCTACATCATAAATTAATTCAAAAGACTCTTACCAAGTCATATAATTTTTAAAATTTCAGAAATATGTTACACAATTAGTGGAAGACAATTTTTGTATTTTTAATTCTTTTTTTTTTTTTTCAGCCGCCCATTCTCCTACTGGTTGATGTTTGTGATGTTTGTATTTTTTTTTTTTTTGTTACCGCCACCCTCAGCAATATTCCAACAGTCTGTAAATAATTGATCTGGACCAGACAATCCAGTGATTAACATCACAAGCATTGATCTACGCAACTGAAATACGATGACATGTGAACCAAGTCTGCGAGCCTGACCACCCAATCCCGATATTCGCAAGCAATTCTAACAAGGGCAGGCTTGAGATGAGAAACAATTAGAAAATTATGGACGGCCTCAGTAACCGAAACATACCAGCACTCTGTCGGAGTCCATGATGGTGTGCAGTCTGTGGGCGATAGTCAACACAGTGCAATGGCGGAACTTTTCACGTATCGTGGCCTGGATCAGTTCATCAGTTCTGAAATGAGGGAATACGTTTTATGCAGCTTTAGCAATATTCAGGCAATATCACAGTAGGGGACACCAGACATGAGCTTCACACATTGTACCTATGTAGGGAATCAAACCTGGGTCTTCAAGTGATGAATGCTTTAACCACTAGGCTACCTAACTGCCCCTATCTGCAACGATACACTTGGCCATGTTAGTCAAGCAGATGAATCATCATCATCATCATCATCATCATCATCATTATCATCATCATCATGAAATATTTCAAAAGAGTCTGCTACATCACAGCAAGGAGCAGAATGTGGCCAGACATTCACGTTGTTTTTGTATACTTGATTCCTGTATAACATCACACTCAGCAGTATTCCAAATATACAACAATGGCGGCCTGTATTCAGTCAAGTCTGAACCAGACAATCAAGTGATTCACACACTGTGCAACAATCTACTGAATGAACCAATTCACTGAGTCAGACCGCTCAATCCATTTACGACCTGCACAGATTGCTAGGGACCTTATTCTAACCTGCAATCCAATTTCTTAGTTTATTTGTACCTTACTAATGCACATTGTAATGATTGGACATATGATACAGTTAAGGCTTGTTGTCCAGATCAGACCAGTAATTACTAGTCGTGTGGAATACCTGACTAGGTGTAACCTTGACATTGGGCTTTGGGAGAGAGGCCAGTAAACTGTTGTCCTAACCAGCTGTGTTTTTTGTTGTCTCTTGTCATGGCATACTTTAACAGCAAAACTAGATAGTGAAACAACTGAACAAGTTTGGTCTTCGCCGCTTTTAGCAATATTCCAGCAATATCACGGTGGGGAGAACTATCAATTTAAATGTATTCCTGTTTTAACCAGTACATGCTAGATAGTGAAACAGGAGGTTTAACAGGGGGCATTGACCCCATAAAACAACACACAGAAGTTCATCATTCTGCAGCAAATGTGACTCTCTATTTTAGACAAGACTTAAGCATTGGTACCATATTGTAACTATTGGTGTATTGACTTGAAGTAATACTGATGCACATTTAACACTGTCTGAGTCATCAACTCTGGCCACACAGTTGTCTGTAAGACTTGAATGAGGAACATCTTACTTTGGATCAACATTAGCAGTTGCCTCATCTATAAGAAGTATCTTGTTCTTCCTGAGTATGGCCCTGGCTAGACAGATAAGTTGTCTCTGGCCTACACTGAAGTTGATGCCTCCCTCCGACACCTCCGTCTCCAGCTGGCCGGGGAGTTCCTCTATAGCTGGTTTCAGCTCCACCTGCAAGAACACAGACAGACAAGTTGCCCAAGTTGATGGTGTGAGGTTGCCTAGGAGGTGCAAAGACATCCATGGGTTGCTGGGTCTGTGGCCAGTGAGTCTGCCTAGGGTATTGTGACCAGTGAGTCTGCCTAGGGTATTGTGACCAGTGAGTCTGCCTAGGGTATTGTGGCCATTGAGTCTGCCTAGGGTATTGTGGCCAGTGAGTCTGCCTAGGGTACTGTGGCCAGTGAGTCTGCCTAGGGTATTGTGCTCAGTGAGACTGCCTAGGGTATTGTGGCCAGTGAGTCTGCCTAGGGTATTGTGGCCAGTGAGTCTGCCTAGGGTATTGTGGCCAGTGAGTCTGCCCATTGTGACCAGTGAGTCTGCCTAGGGTATTGTGACCAGTGAGTCTGCCTAGGGTATTGTGGCCAGTGAGTCTGCCTAGGGTATTGTGGCCAGTGAGTCTGCCTAGGGTATTGTGGCCAGTGAGTCTGCCTAGGGTATTGTGGCCAGTGAGTCTGCCTAGGGTATTGTGGCCAGTGAGTCTGCCTAGGGTATTGTGGCCAGTGAGTCTGCCTAGGGTATTGTGACCAGTGAGTCTGCCTAGGGTATTGTGGCCAGTGAGTCTGCCTAGGGTATTGTGGCCAGTGAGTCTGCCTAGGGTACTGTGGCCAGTGAGTCTGCCTAGGGTACTGTGGCCAGTGAGTCTGCCTAGGGTATTTTGGCCAGTGAGTCTGCCTAGGGTATTTTGGCCAGTGAGTCTGCCTAGGGTACTGTGGCCAGTGAGTCTGCCTAGGGTACTGTGGCTATAGGAACAAGTTTATCTTGGGTGCTCTGGCTGTGAGGATGGATATAATGTGCAAGGATTTCAAAAGGGTGCTGTGGCTAAGGGTACAAGGTTGCCTAAGGTGCTGCGGCTGAGAGGTTGCCTAAGAGGTGCAAGAATGGATATGCGGTGTGGCTGTGGGGTGTGAGGTTGCCCATTCAGTGCAAGGATTACTATGGAGTGCTGTGGCTATTGGATGTGAGTTTGACAAGCATAGTGACTATAGAGTACACCATTTTCCCATGTTTCTGTAAAATAACACTGATTTAGCTTATACTTACTTCTATATTTCATTGAATTGTCAAAGGTGAAAATGACCATTTGTGATATTAATCGAATCATAAACCAATTTATTAGAAAAAAATTCTAAACCATAAGTCTGCAACATTAACCACTTGTGGGGAGCATTGAGAAAATACATACAAGTAAGCTCAGCATATTTTTTTAACACCAACATGGAGCGAAAACATTGCCACAAGACATATTCTGGCTGATGAGATCAAAATTGGTTCAGTCACTAGCCCGGTAACATAAAACATGTATGTAGTTATATTAACTATGAAAATTAAGCTGTGTAAGAATAACAATATCAGTATTTCATGATGAAATGTCTGTATTACCTCTTCCAGTGATTTCCACAGCTGACTGTCACTGTGTTGTCCAAAGGGGTCGAGGTTACGTCGGAGTGCTCCAGTGAACAGCACAGGGTCCTGGGGAATGATGGAGATTGTTTTCCGTAGATCATGGAGTCCGATGTCCGAGATGTTAATGCCGTCAATCATCAGTTTCCCTGTAGGTTCCACCAGTCGGAACAACATCACGATCATAGAGCTCTTGCCGGCTCCGGTCCGACCTACGATTCCGACCTGACAAAAAGACAATGTCGAACAATCTAGTGAGTCAAAGTATGAGTAAAACATTCATTACTTGAAAAGTTTACGTACTATACATGGCTAAAATAAAGTGAGGCTTATAGTAATGATCTTTCTCATCACCAAGTCCTCATCTTGGTAGCTGCGAGATGTTTCAGTCTTTTTGCCATCTTGTTCCATGCTGAATCATAGGTTATATAACCTGGGATGTCTCCTTTCATGAGTGTGGGGCGGTTGGGTAGCCTAGTGGTTAAAGCGTTGACTCGTCACGACGAAGACCCGGGTTCGAATCCCCACATGGGTACAATGTGTGAAGCCCATTTCTGGTGTCCCCTGCCGTGATGTTGCTGGAATATTGCTAAAAGCGGCATAAAACCAAACTCAGTCAGTCCTTTCATGAGTGAAACAACTCTCTGTGCCTCCAGCAGTGGAAGGTTCCAGGTGGGATGTGACGTGAATACAAAATCTTAAAGGTCTAAAGGCAGCATGGGTTGAGTACTCAACAGGAAGCTGAGGATGTAAAACCCTGATCCACTGGGAATGGGGTGTGGGTATAATGAGGTTGTGGGTGTCAGTTGGCATGAAGTTTTGGGTAAAGTAAAAGTTGATACTGTCCAAACACCAATAACCCTCCATCTATAGTTTGTTTGCAGTGAAAACATACTGATGAATTTCACTTTAAAAAAAAGAGAAAAAAAAGTAACTAAAAATGTGAAATTAAGATTGCGAATCCTCATAATTTTACCTTGCCAATTGAACATTTAAATCTCTATTATTGGTTTGTATTACAAAGGGTATGCACATTAAATGAAACACTGAAAACAAGTAGGGTTGGTTAACGCTCATCACGTACCACACGGTACATACATTTGTTTCACTGCTCCAACTACTGCGCTTACCCCCCAGATTTAAATGTTCAATTGGCAGGGTAAATTTATGAGGTTTTGCAATCTTCATTTCACTTTATTTGATTTACTTTTGTTTAAAGTGAGGTGAGGTGAGGTGAGGTGAAATTGGGTTTAACGTCGTGCTTGAAAATATTTCGCTCATATGACGACGTGCATGCGTGTGTATGTGTATGTGCGGCTGCTTGTACTAGCCCAGACTTATGCTGGTTTTATAGTGCTAGCCCACTGAGATACCATGCCGCAGTGAAGCATGAATACCCCACTGAGACACATTATACGGACTCCGAGCCGACCAGTCCTTGTTGCACCCATGGTTTAAAGTTAAATTCATCGGTACGTTTTCACTGCAAACCATCATAAATTACCAGCGCCGCCTACTCTTCAGAAGTAACAGATGAGGTATCAAGCTGAGCAGTAATAATTCTGCCATACCATCACAAAGAGTCAGATACGCTAAACAGAATACTGAAGACACATTTCACAAAAAGGAGCTCCTGATGACTTGTCTAAAGGTCCTTACTCCTAGCAAAACTAAGAATTGCTGGGATGCAACATACTCTGTTGAGATATATCTTTTATTAATGTATTTATTTAGTTGGTTTGTTATTTTACACCACACTTAGCAATATTGGCAGGGGTCTGTAAATATTTGAGTCTTGACAAGACAATCCAGTGATCAACAGCATGAGCATCGATCTATGCAAATTACCTTCTCTTGTGCCCTGATACAGAAGTTGATGTCCTTGAGTACATTGGGTCCATCCTCCGAGTACTTGAGAGCGGCCTTCTCCCCACTGATGATGCCGTGCTGCGGCCAGTTGGGGGGAGGCTTGTTGTCCTTCCCAGAGTCCAGGGGAGCTTCGGATGGCAGCCTCGAATACTCCAGCACTCGCTCCACTGATATCATCTGGGGGGACATAACATCATCACTGATATCATTTGAGGGATCACAATATCATCCACTGATATCATTTGGGGGACACAACATCATCACTGATATCATTTGAGGATCACAACATCATCCACTGATATCATCACCGATATCATCTAAGGAGACATAACATCATCACACCGATATCATCTGGGTGGACAAAACATCATCACTGATATCATTTGAGGGATCACAACATCATCCACTGATATCATTTGGGGAATCGACATCATCACTGATATCGTTTGAGGGATCACAACATCATCCACTGATATGATTTGGGGACATAACATCAAGACTGATATCATCTGGGGGGACACAACATCATCACTGATATCATCTAAGGGGACATAACATCATCACTGACATCATCTAGGGGACATAACATCATCAATGATATCATCTAGGGGACATAACATCATCACTGATATCATCTAAGGGACAGCATCATCACTGATATCATCTAAGGGGACATAACATCATCACTGATATCATCTAAGGAGACATATCATCACTGATATCATCTTAGGTAACATAACATCGAAATCATCACTGACATCATCTAGGGGACATAACAGCATCACTGATATCATCTAAGGAGACATATCATCACTGATATCATCTAAGGTAACATAACATCGAAATCATCACTGACATCATCTAGGGGACATAACAGCATCACTGATATCACCCGGGGGAACATAACATAATCACTGATATCATCTAAGAGGACATAACAGCATCACTGATATCATCTAAGGGGACATAACAGCATCACTGACATCATCTAGGAGAATATAACATCATCACTGATATCATCTAAGGGGACATAACATCATCACTGACATCATCTAGGAGAACATAACATCATCACTGATATCATTTAAGGGCACATAACATCATCACTGATATCATCTAAGGGGACATAACATCATCACTGATATCATCTAAGGAGACATATCATCACTGATATCATCTAAGGTAACATAACATCGAAATCATCACTGACATCATCTAGGGGACATAACAGCATCACTGATATCATCTGGGGGAACATAACATCATCACTGATATCATCTAAGAGGACATAACAGCATCACTGATATCATCTAAGAGGACATAACAGCATCACTGATATCATCTAAGGGGACATAACAGCATCACTGATATCATCTAGGAGAACATAACATCATCACTGATATCATTTAAGGGCACATAACATCATCACTGATATCATCTAAGGGGACATAACATCATCACTGATATCATCTAGGGGACATAACATCATCAATGATATCATCTAAGGGGACATAACATCATCACTGATATCATCTAAGGGACACAGCATCATCACTGATATCATCTAAGGTAACATAACATCGAAATCATCACTGACATCATCTAGGGGACATAACAGCATCACTGATATCATCCGGGGGAACATAACATCATCACTGATATCATCTAAGAGGACATAACATCATCACTGATATCATCTAAGGGGACATAACAGCATCACTGATATCATCTAGGAGAACATAACATCATCACTGATATCATTTAAGGGCACATAACATCAATACTGATATCATCTAAGGGGACATAAGATCATCACTGATATCATCTAGGGGACATAACATCATCACTGACATCATCTAGGGGACATAACATCATCACTGATATCATCTAGGGGACATAACATCATCACTGATATCATCTGGAGGACAATATCATGACTGATATCATTGGGGACATAACATCATGACTGATACATTCACAGGGACATAATATCATCACTGATATCATCTGGAGGACATAATATCATCATTGATATCATTGGGGACATAACATCATGACTAATAACATCTAAGGGGACTTAATGTCATCACTGATAAAATCAGGGGGACATAACATCATCACTGATATCATCTAAGGGGCCTTCACATCACCGTTGATACCATCTGGGGGACATGTCATCACTGATACCATCTGGGGGACATGTCATCACTGATATCATCTGGGGGACATGTTATCACTGATATCGTTACAGTTTCTTTGATATCAGCTGGGGAACACAAAATCATCACTGATATGTGGTGAACATATCCTCACTGACATCATGTGGGTGAACATATCAGACATCATATAGGAGATATGATCATCTAGCAAACATGTCATCACTGATATCATCTGGAGGAACACAGAGACACTGTTACTAGGAAATGTGAAAACTCTCTCAACCATTTTCAGGGAGTATTTAATGAATTCATACATTCATTTTCCCACTAAGATTTACATTTCTGAGCCATCAATAACAATGTCTTTATGATTCTCCCATCATATAATGGACATATTTTACTTCCAAACAACATACAGCTACATGAATGTTGCATATCAAGGATCGGGCTAGCAGATGAAGAAGGCATGTACCTGGTTCTCCACCTCTGCACTCTGCCGGACGCCCCACTGGAACAGACCCATCAGGGTCATGGCGTATGTGATGGACAGACCCACCAGACCAGCATCCATACCTGCACAAACACATACAACAGGATTTAATATCATATAACCCCATCCCAATTGCATGTTCACTTAAATTCAAACTTCTATATATATGTACAGCTCACAGGTGACAAATTAGGTGAGTGAGTGAGTTTAGTTTTATGCCGCACTCAGCTATTTTGCCGCGGACTGTAAAAAAAATCGAGTCTGGAGCAGACAATCTAGTGATCAACAGCATGAGCATTGATCTACACAATTGGGATAAAATGACATGTCAACCAAATCAGCAAGCCTGACCAACCGATCCCTTTAGTCTGCTCTTACAACGAGCTGCTAAAGGCCAATTCTAACCCGAATCCTCATGGGTCACTACATAATGAAGATGTCAGTAGGCACTATACTGTATTTGAACATCTGCCCTATGCACTACAATGGTTGTTGTGTCATCTCTACATAACGGAGATGTCAGTAGGCACTACACTGTATTTGAACATCTGCCCTATCCACTACAATGGTTGTTGTGTCATCTCTACATAACGGAGATGTCAGTAGGCACTACACTGTATTTGAACATCTGCCCTATCCACTACAATGGTTGTTGTGTCATCTCTACATAACGGAGATGTCAGTAGGCACTACACTGTATTTGAACATCTGCACTACAATGGTTGTTGTGTCATCTCTACATAACGGAGATGTCAGTAGGCACTACACTGTATTTGAACATCTGCCCTATGCACTACAATGGTTGTTGTGTCATCTCTACATAACGGAGATGTCAGTAGGCACTACACTGTATTTGAACATCTGCCCTATCCACTACAATGGTTGTTGTGTCATCTCTACATAACGGAGATGTCAGTAGGCACTATACTGTATTTGAACATCTGCCCTATGCACTACAATGGTTGTTGTGTCATCTCTACATAACGGAGATGTCAGTAGGCACTATACTACTGTATTTGAACATCTGCCCTATGCACTACAATGGTTGTTGTGTCATCTCTACATAACGGAGATGTCAGTAGGCACTACACTGTATTTGAACATCTGCCCTATGCACTACAATGGTTGTTGTGTCATCTCTACATAACGGAGATGTCAGTAGGCACTACACTGTATTTGAACATCTGCCCTATCCACTACAATGGTTGTTGTGTCATCTCTACATAACGGAGATGTCAGTAGGCACTACACTGTATTTGAACATCTGCCCTATCCACTACAATGGTTGTTGTGTCATCTCTACATAACGGAGATGTCAGTAGGCACTACACTGTATTTGAACATCTGCCCTATGCACTACAATGGTTGTTGTGTCATCTCTACATAACGGAGATGTCAGTAGGCACTATACTGTATTTGAACATCTGCCCTATGCACTACAATGGTTGTTGTGTCATCTCTACATAACGGAGATGTCAGTAGGCACTATACCGTCTTGTGGTTCTACTCACTGTCTGCTGAAAGGACACTACAGAAGGAAACTGCAGTGACGAAGATGGCACACAACCAGTCCAGACGGACCGCCAGCCACCGACTGGTCGACAGGAAGAGGAACCACGCCTCTGTGTGCAGGTCCTGGTGGGAATCAAACTCAGCCATGAACTTGTTCTCGATGCTCATCGCTCTGATCGTGTGGAGGCCTTGCAGTGAGGCACTCAGATGGGAGAACACCGGGCTTCGAGCTGCGGAAACATGGGCAAGTTGTAAACTTCAGAGTGTTCTGTGTATCAGCTTCAGGAGGATCTATTGCCTCAAGTTATCATAAGCCTCCTTATAAGTATGGGAGTTACGACCACCTTATGCCAAGAATTACACAATGCCAAGATGACTTGAGGAACAGCGTCATGAAAATTCTGATCAATTATCCTTTGTTCCAAAGTGAGTGAGTGAGTGAGTTTAGTTTTATGCCGCACTCAGCAATATTCCAGCTATATGGCGACAGACTGTAAATAATCCAGTTTGGACTAGACAATCCAGTGATCAACAACATGAGCATCGATCTGTGCAATTGGGAACTGGTGACATGCGTCAACCAAGTCAGCGAGCCTGACCAGGTGATCCCGTTAGTCGCTTCTTACGACAAGTATTTATCAGGCATAAGAAACAGTGGCATGAAGTATTTCAAGCAAACATTTGAATAGTTTTGGTTTGGTTTGTGATGTATGACTGAGATGTTTCAATGAATCCTGAAACACCTACTTGTGCCTTCGAGTCGTTTGACACTACGGGATGAGCGGAGGTAGTATCGCCTGATGAAGATGAACAGTATACACAGCGGGACGGTAGGGATGAACACCCATGGGTTGATGATGCCAGCAACAATGATGATGCCAACGATCAGTAAGAAGCACTGAAATACAGACACACAAAACTGACAGAAGAGTGAGTGAGGGTTAGTTTTAAGCCACTTTTAGCAATATTCCAGCAATATCATGGCGGGGAACACCAGAAATGGGCTTCACACATTGTACCCATGTGGGGAATCGAACCTGGGTCTTCAGTATGACGAGCGAATGCCTGAATCACTTGGTAACCTAACCTCCGCTGTTACAGAAGAGTTTCCACAGATTCAGTAATTCATCCATAGAACTCACAGTACATTTGCAGAAAAATCTGTTTATGTTAACAATGTTTGCAGAATTATCGTCAGAATGTGTAACTTTAAATTGCCAATAATCCTTGTTCATAAAACTACACAATGTTAAATGATAAGAATACCATAGAATAAATTAAAAGAAATTAAAAAAAGCTCGTTTTCATGTTACATTTTCTACTGAAGGCAGAGCACTCATTTGTCCCTATGACAATTCTGCAACTGTTCTATTGAAGCCAATGATACCAGATCACAGTGCCCGGATTCTTGTCTTACCTGTACAAAGTCAAAGAATGTGATTGGTAGCAGGTCATCCATGTGTCCAACATCTTTTGAAAATCTGTTCAGAATTCGACCTGCAACACACAATATTGAAAACACTTTAAGCCTACATACACTGCAATGTTAGGATAAATCTTAATGACATCTAAAATATAAAAGGCTACCTCTATTTAGAATCCAAATTTACATCTCATTTTGGATTAAAAAAATTAAAGTGATTGAAAAAGTATTGCTAATACACATTATTATTATTGATATTTACAAAACCATCAAAGTTGGGTCAGATCTTAGGAAATATACTGTTTGCAATAAAACAAGAATATACATATTCATTTCACCAATAGGATCAATTTACAACCATGATATATAACGACTATGTCATCTGACTGATAAACATTTTCCTTAAATTATCATTACATTATCCCTAAACTATGACATGTTACCTCAATTATCATCACATTATCCCTCAATTAACACATTTTACCTAAATTATCATTTAATTACCCTGAATTACCATAACATTATCCTTCAGTTATTAGATTTTACCAGAATTATCATTACATTATCCCTCAATTATCATTACATTATCCCTCATTTACTACATTTGACCTCAATGATCATTACATTATCCCACAATTATCAATACATCTCTCAATTATCATTACATTATCCCTCAATTATCATTTCATTATCCCACAATTATCAATACATCTCTCAATTATCATTACATTATCCCTCAATTATCATTACATTATCCCTCAAATATTACATTTTACCTCAATGATCATTACATTATCCCTCAATTATCAATACATGATCTCTCAATTATCATTACATTATACCTCAATTATTATTACATTATACCTCAATTATTATTACATTATCCCCCATTTATTACATTTTACCTCAATGATCATTACATTATCCCTCAATTATCAATACATGATCTCTCAATTATCATTACATTATACCTCACTTATTACATTATACCTCAGTTATTATATTTTACCTCAATTATTATTACATTTAACTTCAATTATCATTCTTTTCCTCAATTATCATTACATTATGCCTTAATTATCATTACATCATACTTCAATCATTATTACATTATACTTCAATTATTATATTTTCCCTCAATTATCATTACTTCATACACCTAATTTATCATCACATTATCAGTGCAGTTAATGTGCTACCTACCGACAGGATTGTTATCGAAGAAGGAAATGGGGGCTCGGAGGATCTTGCTGAACATTCTGTTATGAAGGGTCTGTGAAGCATCTACTGCTATCTTGAAGAAGAGAAGAGCTCGGAGGAGACCAAACAGGAAGACGCTGACAACAATGCCGGTGAAGATGTAGATGTTGACGTTTGTATCGACTACAGGCACGGTGATGTTGCTTGAATTGAACATGGTCATCTCCTCATTGAATCTTGATGTAGCTGCATATCTTATCTCTTCTTCATTGGACCTGAAATGGAGTGTGGGAATCATGTGGTTAGACAACAGGAGGTTGAGTAACACCAGTAGAATGAACATTGAGATGGACATCCCAGACTACACTTACCATCTAGACAGCCACCAGTCACTCATGATGTAGGCCGTCTGGGCCAGGAGGTTGAGGAGAACCAGTGGAATGAACATGGAGATGTACATCCCAGACTACACTTACCACCTAGACAGCCACCAGTCACTCATGATGTAGGCCGTCTGGGCCAGGAGGTTGAGGAGAACCAGTAGAATGAACATGAAGATCAACATCACGGACTACTCTTACTATCTAGACAGCCACCAGTCACTCATGATGTAGGCCGTCTGGGCCAGGAGGTTGAGGAGAACCAGCAGAATGAACATGAAGATGGACATCACAGACTACACTTACCATCTAGACAGCCACCAGTCACTCATGATGTAGGCCGTCTGGGCCAGGAGGTTGAAGAAAACCAGTAGAATGAACATGGAGATGGACATCACGGACTACACTTACCATCTAGACAGCCACCAGTCACTCATGATGTAGGCCGTCTGGGCCAGGAGGTTGAAGAAAACCAGTAGAATGAACATGGAGATGGACTTCACGGACTACACTTACCATCTAGACAGCCACCAGTCACTCATGATGTAGGACGTCTGGGCCAGGAGGTTGAGGAGCACCAGCAGAATGAACACGACGATGCCAGTGCCAGCCTTGAAATATTCAACGTAAACACCAAACCCAACTGTCCCTTCCTGTCTCTGTTCTTGTTCCTGAACCTGAATTTTCTCTGGCTGAAATGTAGAACACATACTTTAATATATCTGAACTTTAGCTTCATGTCACAGGGTGGCAGCTTCCTTTGTGAGGAAAGCCATGAGTGATGCACGTCTCAGACACTTACCACAATGTATGTCAGGGCTAGATGATGACTGTGTAACCGATGCCTCCTGTATTGGTTTAGTTGTCTGTTTGTTTGTTGTGTAACACGCACTCCGCAATATTCCAGTTATATGAAAGTGATTTGTAAATTATCGAGACCAGACAATCCCATAACATCAGAGCATCAATCTATGCAACTGGGATACGATGATGTGTCAACCAAGTCAGCGAGCCTGACCACAGATCTCGCTAGTGGCCTCTTACGACAAGCACGAGTTATTAAAGATCAACTTGAACTTGGATTGTCCCAAACAATGGCTCCTGTAAATCATGGTTGCTGAAGTATTCAGAGAAGATATGGCTGTAAGACGACTGTGTTACCAATAACCCCTTTAAACCATGACTAATATTCCCTTATTCAAAATAGGGGTGGTTGGGTAGCCTTGTGGTTAAAGCATTCATTCTGGACACTGAAGTCCCGGGTTCGATTCCCCACACGGGTACAATATGTGAAGCCGATTTCTGATGTCTCCATCTGTGATATTGCTGGAACATTGCTAGAAGCACTCTTCTCAAAACACAGTTGGGTGATGTAGATAATTATTCTGAAATCATCAGGTGTCAACAGATGGCAAGGAACAGTAGAGCAAGTGCCAGACTGTGATAAAATTACAGTGAAATCCTTCCTGAATTCTTACCACAAAGTCTGAAGCAATGGAGGCCAGAGACAGAGATGACCCCAGGTCGTTGAAGTTAACGTTGGAGGTAGAGATGGTTTCGGGAAGCATCATCACGGCAGAGTCATCCTCATCCTCTTCATCGTGTTTCAGAAGCGACGCAAAGTCAATGCCAGACTTGGACAGCTCTTCAAACGTCCCTGTACCCAGTGCCTTGCCCTGCAGGTAAAGGTAGGGGGAGCTGACATTATGCTTTTGATACAAGCATAGTTAGGGCTCTTCATTGAACAGTATACATTCTCTGTACTCTCCCCAGCCGGGGGTCGGTGGGGTAGCCTAGTGGTTTAAGCGTTCACTCATCATGCCACAGACCCGGGTTCGATTCCCCACATGGGTACAATGTGTGAAGCCCATTTCTGGTGATATTGCTGGGACATTGCTAAGAGCAGGGTAAACCTAAACTCACTCATTCACCAGCCGGAACAGATTCAAGCAGAGCACCAAAACGGATCTCAATACATGCTCAATAAGTATGAGAAAAACTCAATTAACACACTTTTCAAAACCTTCAGATACAGTAGATACCGTATATACTGTAGATACAGTTATTTAACAAAGGAAATACAAATCAAAGCTTGATGCACGATTGCATCTCTGCAGACGAGGAATTCAAATTCCTGAGTTGACAAAGAGTACTGAGAATAATTAACAGCCCTGATGAAGTCTAAAGTGTCTCACATCCTTGAGGATGAGGATCTGGTCGGCCTCCTTCAGGTACTGCACTTGGTGAGTCACCAGGATCCTTGGCTTCTTCTTGAGTGCCCCCTGGATGCACCTGCAGTGTAACATGTACAAGATGAGAACCAGGGCAGGGGGTAGTCTTATGGTTAAAGCGTTTGCTGAAAATGCTGAAGACCTGGGTTCGATTCCCCACATGAGAACAATGTGTGAAGCCCATTTCTGGTGTCATGATATTGCTGGAATATTGCTAAAAGGACCTACCTTCACTTAACTTGAGAACAACACATAAAAGAACGTGAATTTGGGAATATCCACTTCATACCTTTACAAGGATAAATGCTGTTTTTTCTCAGTCTTCCACTTTGACATACTAATAAATTTAACACAACATCTATTAAGCTTTGTCTCTGTCCATATGTGTTCCTACCTTAACAATATTCCAGTATTACATATTAGACAGCATCATTATAAGGACAGGGCTCCAAATAAGGGCCGTATCGGCATATATACGGATAAAAAATATGCACGATACGGAAGGAAATAATTTAGAAAATATAGCAGATACGCACCACAGCAATGGTGAACGGTCTTAGATTCATTTACAAACGTATTTATCTGAAAAAAGTATTGTTTTATTGTTTATTAACCTGTTTACACAAGAGTAGCAATGTTGCGATGCATATATGAATTGCTGATACTCCATTAAATTCCATTCAGTACTCTAAATGTACCCTTAATGTTTTCCAGTACTCCTATATTGTAAAATAAGGAGTATGTACTCCAGTTGTTGAAAACTTATCTGGAACCCTGTAAGGACATAGTTTTTATCTAAACGTCATGAAGAAAACATTACTTTTCAAAGATGTGGCGTCCCACAGCAGCATCTACAGCACTGAGCGGGTCGTCCAGGAGATAGATGTCAGCATTGGTGTACAGAGCCCGGGCCAGGTTCACCCTTGCCCTCTGACCTCCACTTAAACTGACCCCTCGGTCACCAATCAGGGTACTGTCACCATGAGGCATAATCCCAAGATCCTATAGACAATCACAAACACCATAGGAAATGGATGCAGTTTGAATTTCATCAGTATTTTAGGAAAACCTTGAAAATAATTAATTTTCCATGATTATCTTCTTGGGGACAATGCACAATTAGTATATTGTTTCTATGCATGTCTGGCCTGGCAAAGAATATATCGTATTATGGGTTTTTGGACATTCAAGACACATTTATTGTTATTTTTCTAATCATATGAACGGATATAAAACATCTCACAAACCCATAAAAAATAACTTTAGTCTAAACTCTAGCCATCATTCAAGAATTTTCAATGTCTGTTTGAAGCATCATAAATATATAAAGTCAGAAAACCTATGATCAGACGATAAGTTAGCATATGAACACTTTCTGCTAATTTAGATCACCAGAGTTTCCGGTCATCGAAGGCTTCATATTTCATAGAACAACTAAAGACAAGAAGATGCAGACACTTCAAGGTTGGCTTAATTTGACAAAGTTATAAATCTTTGTTTACAAATAGAAAACTTGATCATTTGAAGTTTCCCTACCTTCTTGAGAGCACATGCACGTATTGACTTTTCGTACAAGGCTGCGTCAAATATTTCCCCCATCGTCACATTCTGCCGAACACTCGCTGAAAACACCCAAGGCTGCTGAGACACGTAGGCGATCTTGCCTTTAACCTGAATCTTCCCTTCTGATGATGGCAGCTCACCAAGAATAGACATGAGCAGGGATGACTGAAACAGATGGGTAGTTATACGATCAATACAGTGAGACAATGGACAAACAGATGACTACAGACATGAAAGTTTTACAGAAAAACTTCAGCATTCTTTATTCAGGGCAGGCATACAGCAAGATTGCAGCTGGAAGTTGTCAAAATTCAGCACATATCGTTATCATTCAATCAGCCAACAGAAGAGATACACAAGTAATGCTTTTAAATCTTTTTCCTTCAAAAAGCTGATATATCCACAGCTTATTGATCAGCAACTAGCGTAACTAAATGTTTACAACAAGTACACAAAGACGCCATACGATGCCCAGCACAGTATTTACACCCACCTTGCCTGCCCCAACAGGGCCTATCCCACAATAACACCCACCTTGCCTGCCCCAACAGGGCCTATCACAGCAATAACACCCACCATGCCTGCCCCAACAGGGCCTATCACAGCAATAACACCCACCTTGCCTGCCCCAACAGGGCCTATCACAGCAATAACACCCACCTTGCCTGTCCCAACAGGGCCTATCACAGCAATAACACCCACCTTGCCTGCCCCAACAGGGCCTATCACAGCAATAAACCTTGCCCGCCCCAACAATAACACCCACCTTGCCCACACCCCAACAGGGCACTATCACAGCAATAACACCCACCTTGCCTGCCCCAACAGGGCCTATCACAGCAATAACACCCACCTTGCCTGCCCCAACCACAGGGCCTATCACAGCAATAACTGCCCTAACAGGGCCTATCACAGCAATAACACCCACCTTGCCTGCCCCAACAGGGGCTATCACAGCAATAACACCCACCTTGCCTGCCCCAACAGGGCCTATCACAGCCAGCAGCTCACCAGCCTTCACACTGGCAGAGATCTTTTCCAGTGTGTTTTGATCCACATTCTGAAGAAACAACATATTTAGTGTATCAAACTTATGCATTTGGTCATCATATTATCAATATTGATAAAACATTGCTCAGTTTAGTGTCATCGTGCCTGAGTTCAACATAGCTGTCACATTATCAATATCGATAAAACATTGTTCAGTTGGGTGTCATCATACCATAGTTCAACATACCTGTCACATCATCAATATTGATAAAACATTGTTCAGTTGGGTGTCATCGTACCTTAGTTCAACATAGCTGTCACATTATCAATATTGATAAAACATTGTTCAGTTCTGTGTCATCATACCTTAGTTCAACATAGCTGTCACATTATCAATATTGATAAAACATTGTTCAACTCTGTATCATCATACCTTAGTTCAACATAGCTATCATATTATCAATATTGATAAAACATTGTTCCACTCTGTATCATCGTACCTTAGTTCAACATAGCTATCATATTATCAATATTGATAAAACATTGCTCAGTTTGGTGTCATCGTGCCTGAGTTCAACATAGCTGTCACATTATCCAAATTGATAAAACTTTGGACAATTGTGTATCATTGTACCTTATCCCAATTAGCTGTCACATTATCAATATTGATAAAACACTGATCAGCTCAAAGTCATAGTACCTGATCCAAATTAGCTGCCAACTTATCAATATTGATAAAACACTGATCAGCTGGGCGTCATCAAACCCTAACCTAATTAACTGTCACATTATCAATATTGATAAAACACTCTTCTGCTGTGTGTCGGTCATACCTTATCCCACTTGGCTGTCACATTATCAATACTGATAGAACACCGGTCAGCTGGTGGTCTGTCATGATCCTCTGACTTCTCCACCAAAGAGCTCTCTTCCAGCTCTTCAAGACACAGGAATTTCTGAAGACATTGCCGGGCAATTAACATAGAGGATTGAAAACAGGGAAAGGAAACATGTCAACATGCAACTCAATGAATCGTATCATTAGTTAACAATAACTAGTTCTTTAGATTTTGTGAAATCTGACATTATTGAAAGCATTTGATTAAGAAAGATAAATCATTAGGTTGAGGGGAGATACGGAGCCAGGTCACAGCCGAGTGTCTTTTGATATTCCCGTGTGGTTACCAATACAAACACTGCTCACATGGCAGACACTATGAGTGAGTGAGTATGGTTTTATGCTGTTTCAGCAATATTCCAGCAATATCACAGCAAGGCACACCAGAAATGAGCTTCACACATGTGGGGCAGTGGGACATCGAACCCGGGTCTTAGACGTGACGAACGAACACTTTAACCACTGGGCTTCCCGACAGACCCCGCAGACACGTGAGTCGACTCTAGATATTCGCCTTTCATAGCAAGTAGCAGCAATAAGCTGTCCACCATTTCACACACTGTATATCACCGTCTATAAAGCAAGATTTTTTAACTAGAGTGAGTGAGTGAGTGAGTGAGTGAGTGAGTGAGTGAGTTTTGTTTTAGGCCGCTTTTAGCAAATGGTCCAGCAATATCTAGGCGGAGGACACCAGAAATGGGCTTCACACTGTGTAACCATATGGAGAATCGAACCCGGGAATGGGCTTCGAATGAACACATTAACCACTAGGCTACCCTACCGCCCCTTTTGTAATTACAATGAGAGGGTTATAATTTGGGGGTGTCGCCTTGCTGCATCACTTTCAGGTTCAACTGGTCCAATAATAGCAATAGCCAACCTGCACTGATATAGACATTTGAAATTAGCCTCGATTTCAAAGTCTCTTACAGGGGTGTCGCCTTATAGGTGGGGTCACTTTATAGACAGCGATATACCGTATGCTGGTAAAAGTGGCCAAAATTTATGTTATTCTCACATTTCCTTGCAAAAACATAAAATTCTTGACGCTAACAAATATAACATTCAACTTTTGATAGGGATATCTTCATATTATTAAAGATATGAAATTGACTGCATGAGCATCGTAATGTAACAACATGCATGCTGATTCCCTAACAACTGTAGTTAATGCTAAGGTTATTATAAGCTAGGATATCAGCATACACCATGGGACCAATTACATTTTGATTTGGCATATACAAAAACACAAGCAATGTTTAGATTGATCATTGTTGTTTCAGCAACACAGCGGCTTTAATCACATACTTGACAAAAGGATCACGGAATGAAGGACCATAACAGTAACCATTTAAAATTGTAATATTTTCATCTGCTAGAAAAAAACCAGATTTGCCATTTTCAAAATATATAATGCATGATAATGTTTGTACTTTGCTGAAAACACTATCAGAATATTATTATACCAGAATAACCAATCAAGTTTGAAATGACAACCATGAATATCCCCATGGCTAGCATTTACCAGAATGGACTGACTGACTGAGTTTTGGTTTTACGCCGCTTTTAGCAATATTCCAGCAACATCACGGCAGGGGACACCAGAAATGGGCTTCACACATTGTACCCATGTGGGGATTCGAACCCAGGTCTTCAGCGTGACGAGCCAACGCTTTAACCACTAGGCTACCCCACCGCCCTACCAGAATGGAATCCTGGAGAGGTATATAAGATACCATTGACGACATCTACAACTAACACAGCACAAAATGTCCACAGTAACTGTGACTATTGTGTTGTGACATAGTGTTTCTCATCAAAACTATTCCAAAATGAAAAACACTCCAATCTTTAATTAGTATATATGTCTGTATCCCTGTCAAAAGTTGAGTAGAACATGTAATAAACCAGGTATATAAACAGTAACACAAACAAATGTGTCTATCTACCAAACAAGGTTTGGTAATTGTATGACAGGCCAGGGGAGGTAATTTGGTGTAACCCTACAGAGTAGCTTCCCTTTGATGACAAGTGTCAGTGTGCAGAATGGCTAATAACTAAACTGGAGTTAACATTGGGGTTAACCCGGGGGTTAAAACTGGGGTTAACTCTGGCAGGTGTGGTTACTTAAGGTATAGTTAATCACTTAAATTAAATAAACAAGCTCAATTATAAGAATTACGATAACATATGGCAAAAGCAATACTTAACTCAACAGATATATGTAAAATTTTAAACAGAAATACATGCTGATATTATGACAGTTTGTAATGAAATAGAGGTTAGAGTTGTGCACCAGAATCTCAGTTCGGAAATGTGTTTATTCATACCATCTCAGTCTGCTTCATGTGTCACCTGTATGAGCCTCCAGTAGGCAACAGAACTGCCAAGTGAGTGAGTTAGTTTTATGCCGCACTCAGCAACATTCCAGCTATATGGCGGCGGTCTGTAAATAATCGAGTCTGGACCAGACAATCCAGTAATCAACAGCATGAGCATCGATCTGCGCAATTGGGAACCGATGACATGTGTCAACCAAGTCAGCGAGCCTGACCACCTGATCCCATTAGTCGCCTCTTACGACAAGCATGGGTTACTGAAGGCCAATATGCTCACCCAGACCTTCACGGGTCTGAACTGCCAAGTCAACATTGATTGACTACACATGTAAACTTGATAATGAGGGAATGAGTTTGGTTTTACACTGAGTTTATCAATATTCCAGCAATATATTACAGCTGGGGACACAAGAAATGAGCTTCACCCTATCCATGAATCGAACCCGGCCTTCAGCACGACAAGAGAAAACTTTAACTGCTGGGCTACCCCACCGCCCTAACCTCCTACTGACAGCAAACACAAAAAGTCCTCACTGAAACCCACTGATGTTCATCTGCAATGAAAACTTACTGCATGGACTGAAGATCATCACTCAACTTTTTTTTAACCTAACCCCAAAATGAGGCGTCATGAACTCTTCCTGAGACAATCCCTCAGATTATCCACTTCCCAAATGGATTCCGTGCTTCCTGTGACTACTGGTAACCTCAACTGTTGGAGGCACGGTGTAAACTGATTCAATACACGTATCTCCCACCCTGCTAAGTTGTACAAGGTACAATACCACTGTGTACATGGCACCAGGGAATGTGGCTCAACAGACAAGACATCCTCGGTGAAATCTGGGTATCTGCAACATTACAATGCTGCTTAGTGTGAACGAACCAACTTTATTTTCCTTAAGGTAACTTAGAAAACAGTTGACTGGTTAATAGCCAACGCATCAGAAACCATACTCATGGATAACTTTCATGAAACCATCTTACCCTGTTCCAATGGGCAGTATGGATGACCTTGACAGTTTGTGACCTTTGACATTGAAATCCAACTCACTTAGAAACTCAACTCATATTATCACAAAAAGTTCTTTTAATTAATTTTTGTTTCCGAATATCTATGAAGTGGAAATAGATCGGCCCTTAAGATATATCCCAACTGGTGGTAATTTCTGAAATAATAACTTCACTGGTGGACCATTAGCCATGCTATACCACCTGGCACATACATACATAACTGACAATATCATGTGGCAAACTGACAGCTTCCTACAAAGGCTCATGTGTTCTTGGATCACTTGTGTTGTGTGTGTGCTCAATCATGACACCAGGCTCTTGTGTTGTGTGTGTATTCTTGCTCAATCATGACACAGGCACTTGTGTTGTGTTTGTATTCTTGCTCAATCATGACACACATCACTTGTGTTGTGTGTGTATTCTTGCTCAATCATGACACAGGCACTTGTGTTGTGTTTGTATTCTTGCTCAATCATGACACACATCACTTGTGTTGTGTGTATTCTTGCTCAATCATGACACCAGGCAGTAGTGCTGTGTGTATTCTTGCTCAATCATGACACCAGGCAGTAGTGCTGTGTGTATTCTTGATCAATCATGACACCAGGCACTTGTGTTGTGTGTGTATTATTGCTCAATCATGACACACAGCACTTGTGTTGTGTGTGTATTCTTGATCAATCATTGCACACAGCATTTGTGTTGTGTGTGTATTCTTGATCAATCATGACACCAGGCACTTGTGTTGTGTGTGTATTATTGCTCAATCATGACACACAGCACTTGTGTTGTGTGTATTCTTGATCAATCATGACACACAGCACTTGTGTTGCGTGTATTCTTGCTCAATCATGACACCAGGCAGTAGTGCTGTGTGTATTCTTGCTCAATCATGACACCAGGCTCTTGTGTTGTGTGTGTATTCTTGCTCAATCATGACACCAGGCAGTAGTGCTGTGTGTATTCTTGCTCAATCATGACACTAGGTAGTAGTGTTGTGTGTACATATCTGAATAATTTCCTTATAAGTTTGAAGTTGATCTTCGTTTTGAAAGATTAAAATCATATCTTAATGAAAGTCAGCATTTATCATGACAAATACAGAATGTACAGAACTCAAAGCGTTCCACAGACATCTCAAATATACATCATTCACCAACCATCCCTTACCACAATCCTACGAACAGATGCGTAAAACTGTCCCATATTTTCTACACACATTGTTCCACAACCAATGATATTGTGTGCCAAGATCCCCAAATACACAGTTCCCATGAACACTGGCGCTGGTCTCAGAAACTGCGTAGTGTCCGTGAGACACATGGTAATGACAATCACGTAGGCGAGAAAACGATGGAGAATCACCCACACGGAAACCGAGAACACTGATGCTTGTTTAGATTTGGTTATTATTTTCCATTCCTGTCTGAAACCAAGATGACAGTGCAGTCTAGAAATATTTCAGGATTACACTCAGAGTTACATTAGAGGCCTTCTGGAACCAAGGTTACAGTGCTGTCTAGAAATATCAGTATTACAGTCACAAATATATCAGGATTACAGTCAGAAATATTTCAGGATTACACTAAGAGTTACATTAGAGGCCTTCTGGAACCAAGATTACAGTGCTGTCTAGAAATATATTAGGATTACAGTCAGAAATACCGGTATATCAGTATTCCACTCAGAGTTAGTTTAGAGGGCC